TGTGGGCCGAAGTAGCCAGAGACCAGACACCGGGTGAGGAGCTCGGTTAGCCACCGAGTAGCCAGAGACCAGACACCGGGTGAGGAGCTCGGTTAGCCAACACGTCTACCTCCGACTGTCATCACCGAGTGACTGTGATAAAATAAGGCTTTATACAGACCTACCTGATATTAAATTACAAAACTCCTGCTTCTCTGACCTCCATTATTCACGTGCATCCATGACTGCATCTGCCACGCCAGTAAGAAACAAAGCACTTCCGCTTTCAAAATAAGTGTTACTGGGTTCTTCTGCGCGTTCATAGGGAAAACATGTTTCACCACTATAAGAAAGAAGAACCATCGAGCTATTCTGACTATTTGTCAACAGGATGTAGTGTCTATGTTATATCCTACTGGAATAGTTTGGTTCCGGACATTTGCTGGGATAAAGTATGGTTATTGCCTTTTAAATATATGATCAGTAATAAAATAAGAGAGGTCTCCTTTAAGTTAATTCACAGATTTTACCCATCTGCTCATTATCTTACAAGATTTAATAGGTCTATTAATACATCGTGTGTTTTCTGTAATGCCTCGGAAGAAACCACTGTTCATTTATTTTGGGATTGTCCATTTTGCTATGATTTATGGCAGAATGTCTCTGTATTCATCACCTCCAAAATTCATTATCCCCTTGCTGTGAAATGGGAACATGTTTTATTTGGTCTGTATAACAATAATAGAAAGGAAAGTGACAAACTACATTTAATTAACTTTATTCTACTCATGGCAAAATTTTATATTCACAAATGCAAATTCTCTAAATCTAATCCGCGTGGCTTTACTCAGCCGTGACGTTACTTCCTGTCACGAACAGAGCGCAGTGCTGCCCTCTGCTGGTGTGACACATCCACCAACCTGTTTCACAGTGTGACTTTCACATCCCTCTCCTCTCTTCCAGTAATGTTTTTCTTTGACTTTGTCAACTGGGTGTGGTCGTTTTTCATTCGAAGTCCATTCTGACATTGTATGACCCTGAAAACGCCTGTTAATAGTACTGAACAGGGGCGTTGCTAGGCATAACGCCTTACCAGGGCACAGGACCCTCATAACTCAAATCATACATTTTTCTTCTTGAATAGGGTCATACAATGTCAGAATTTGGGGGCGGCTGTGGCTCAGGAGGTAGAGCGGGGCGGTTCCTAAACAGGG